CCCCTGAGACTAAGCAGGTTTGCTTTTGGTTGTGTTTTCTCGCTGATCTCATTGAAAGGCACTCTACATACCCAGGTGCAGAAAGGGCATCTAGGAACCAACTGAGAAGATGAGCCCACCATAGGCAGGACAAGAGAGAAACTGAGTTTTCTTAATAAAAATATATGGCGGTGTTTCCATGACCACTTGCAGAACGAATGGGCTTCATTTCCACACGCAAAAAGGGCGACATGCTAATCAAACGGAGATTTTGCTGCAGTCACTTTGGAGGTGATTTGATGACCAAGAATCCCTAGGAATTTAGAAGGGGACAGGTCAGGTATGTCGAGGAGAAGGGAGTCTTCATTGCTGCTTACAAACATGAACAAGCGAATAATTAAAAAAACCCAAAAAAACAAAGACTTAAACTCCTATTTAACTTCAATGATGAATAAACCTGTTGAATTCCAGAGGCCTCAGCATTCAAGCCCAAAGGATCTCTTCAGTACAGACGCCAAGCTCAAAATTCACATCACTCTCTGGTCTTAACAAAATCAGGAAGAACCAGATTATCTTTCTTAAATATTTGAAATTCAAGCAACAACGATAAGAGACAAGCCCTTTTACTCTGCCTTGTGAGCTTTCTTGAACCCATCGTAACCAAAAACGAAGAGGAGGGGGCACAAATGCCTACTTTGTTTTAAATGCAAAAATCTAGAACTCTAGGTTCCAAAATGATACCTTTTATTATTTATTAAAAATAAATCTTTCTGCAAGCTGTCGGGCTCACGCGCCCTTCATCAGGCTCAGGGAAAGTTCAAGATGGTAAAAAAGTCCCCATATGTAGGAAATAAACTTGTTTTTTTTAAATCACCTTGGAGGCTACTTAAGAGATGTCCATCAGTTAAAGCAGCTCCAGCTTGGGAAGGTTGATCTCAGTGTAACAGAGCATCAGCCTTTGGCTTCACCTTTACCTGGCCGGCCTTATGGAAGGGCATCTGCGTAACCTGAGGTCCCTTCCAACCCTTTCTATGATCCTATAACTATCAGCGCACTTGGCCCTCACAAAGCCTTCCCTCCTGGGAAAGGGCTGATAAATGACTGGGTGAGAAGGAAGGATTTTACGGTTGGGCACCCAACTCACTGATGACTCCTGAAAATACTTGCCTTAGTACCTTGCATGGATTAGCCCAGGGAGGATTAAGGGTACTGTTTTAGCTGACAGCTGAGGTCAAGCTGCCAGCTAAACATGCATGAAAGGATGCCAAACGACAGATTGAGATTTTACTCTGGATTGGGGGGTGGAAACAGGACGGGACAACTCCAGGGTAGAGAGAGATCAGTACAGGAATAGTAATTAGATCTGTAGGCAACGTCCATCCTGAAGATGCGGAGAAACGAAGGGCACCAAGAACAGTCCTGGGGCAGTCCTAGAGAAAGGAGGTGAATGAGGGTTCTCCAAGGACACCCTGAAGCAGCGATGAGAGACTCAAGACAAGAACCCGGATAGACCGGAGCTATAGAAACCACAAGGTCAGTAACAGCACAAGTGACTGCAAAGGCAGGCGATGAAAGAGCGAGGGTGGTGAATGGGTTCTGAGCTTTAACTAATTAGCAATCCTTATGGCAAGAGCTGTTTTGTTGAAGTGCCAGGTGCAAAACCCAAGCTGGATGGGGCCTAGAGTAGACTTGAATGGCATATACCGGGGTATCAAACATACTGCGGGAAGGCTACCAGCAGTCGGGGGCATGGCTTGCTGCAGAGCTTAGGATCCCTGAAGCCTGATGGACATGGCTGCTGTGGCAGGCTCCTAAACCCTGCTGCTGCCCAAACACACCTCCAGGTCATTGCCCAGTCCCGAACTGTGCTGCCCAAACACGACTCCACTGCAGTTCCTGCTGGTTACATGGGCCCAGCCTGGGCAGAGCCCCCATGGTTTGGATTCAATCCAGGGCGAGTTGGACACCCCTGATGTACACTGAATCTGTTATTGGCAATTGATGTCGAGCTCTGTTTTGGTGGAGGCTGGAATTCAATAGAAAATGTCTAAAAACTGCATTGTATTGTTTGCTGGTTAACACGCCCAGAGCCAAGTGAGGCGAAAAAGGGAAGAGTCAATTGAACAAAACCTATTTGGGATTTAAAATGAGCAATCAAATCTGTAGGCAGTGAAGTGACCCAACTGCCTGATTACCCCATTTCTTCCAGAGTTAGAACTCGATCTCATCCACAAATGTCAAGTTTCCCTTCACAGGCTGGAGATGACAATCAAGCTCCACTGCTTTCCAACCGGCAGTCTGCTTCTCAACGTTAAGCTGATTTAAGCGATTGAACGAAGTTGAATCAACTGACATGAAAAACCAGCCTTCTCTTGGCAATTGCTACCGGCTGTCCAATCCTGATGTAGCACTTCAGCCAACTCTGGTGTCAGATGCTCAGCCAGTGACTTCCACCCATTCAGTGGCTTGATTTTAAAACTTTGGCTGGGAAATGTCGGCATTAAAAGACAAAAAAAAGATTTCTTAGATTGTAGAAAGTATAAGGACTGCACATGGATTGTGAGCTTTTCAGAATTATTATTTCTTTTTAATAAAATCCTTTAAAAACAAGAATCTTTTAAAAAAAAATATTTTTTTAATCCATCCCGTCCTGAGACAGAAATAGGAGGGAAGGATGCAAGTGAATGCAAACAGTGCAAAAACAGAACGTGTCATACCGAGTCCGACCAAGGGCCCATCCAGCTCATAGCCTCTCTCTGAGAGTGGCAGGAGTAGATGCTTTAGAGGGAGATCACTGATCTGGGTTTTGTCTAGAGTGATCTACCGCTAATTCATTACCCTCCCTGCCGTCCACCCTCGTTGGTTTAGATGCCAGAGGATACATCTCTGACCGGTCTGTTTAAGAGGTGTGGGACAAAAAAGGTGGGGCAGTAGCTGGAAGTGGGTCTAGGGTAGGGCAAGAGAGGAAAGGGAGTATAGCACATTTTTGCTGTGAAGGGAGGAAAACAGAGAGAGAATGCATACACGCTTGGGATGGGTTACAGAAAATAGGAAGGGGAGATGCAGAGATGAGACGAGCAGGATTTGGAGAGCAGCGAATAAGAAATGTGTGCTTAATGGAGGATATGGAGGAAAGAGGTAGGAGGGAAAGGGGGAGCACAGTGAGTAGAGTGAAGGAAGCCACAGCCTTGAAAATAGGTAGCAAAATCCTGCACAGAGAAGTGAGGGCTGCAGGTGGGGTAGGGTTTGAAGAGCAAGTCAAAGGTGGCAGGAGGCAGGTGTGATACTGGACCTCGAATTCGGTGAAGCTGGAGAAGTACAGCAGCTTAGCCCGGAGGATGGCAGCAGTCGCCAAGCTGCCATTGCTGTTCAGAAAGTGCTAGATATTCAGGACATTTTCCAATGAAACTACAATAACAGTTTTCATACGGATGACCTGTACTTAAAGGCTGTTTCTAGCCATTTAAATATTAGAGCAGGGAGGAAAGAATTAACAGGCATATAAAGAGATGGGACAAAATAGGGCAGAACCAATTCATTCAGCTGTCTGCAAACACCAGGGCTTTTGCCTCTCAGTCTTACGGTACGGCTGCAAGTTTATGGGATAAGTGGTTAATTAAGATGTGGGCCCCGACCAGCTGGACTATACTGCGTGTCTAATGTACTGGAGACTGCTTAAAGTTTATTGAGCAGTTTCAGAAACTAAATCACAATTATAGCAATCGACTTAAGAAACAAAAGCCAGATGGGTGCTATTCATTAACTGAGCTTAACGTCTTCACTAATTTATATGCACACTTTGGAGACTACCAGTTTCTCTATTAAGACAACAAGGGGAAAAAAGAAAAGAAAAAAAAAGAACAGAAATCCTACCTGCACACCCAGTGATCTGTTTTCTACATTAACTTCAGGCTTACGGCAAAGGAGGAGGAAAAGTTTTGAGACCCGATTCTCAGCAGGACATCCACAACTAGCTCAAGTAGCGAGCATAGCAGGCAGCATTGACAACCCCGGAAAACGGAAAGCCAGGAATCAGTCTTTTAGCGAGAGGGAGATGTCAGGTTTTTATTTGCCTTTTGGCTTCAGCCTTCAGAGTTCACATTTTTTCAGCTTTCCTCTGCAACCACAAGTGCTAGATGTGATCACGTGACTCCAAAAGCTGGGGCTCAGAAACACGAGACGGACTTAGTACTCAACAAGTGCTCATCATTTCTTAAAGTTGGGACTTAATTCTGTTTACCGTGCACAGAGCTTCGAGAATATTAGGCAGTAATTCGGCCTTGCGTGTGCATTCAGTTGCTGGTTACGCTTAGTTTTGGAGAGGCATAGAAGGAGATTTCTACAGCTTCCACACCATGCAGACTTTGGAGACCTCCCTTAAAAAAAGGCTCGAAGTAAGCAGCAGTGGCCGTGTCCATAAACAGCTGGGAGCACTAATATACACCTCTTTGCAGGACTCCACCGTGAAGTTCACTTTAGGCTGAAACGTGGTGCAGACGCAACGAACGGCGCAAGAGTGGT